CTTCTGTATTTTGCCAGTGAAGATTAAAAGCAGCAGTGGGGCTGATATGGATCATCTTACAGCAGTCTGCTGAGGACACAAAGGAAACAGCTGCACTGGCCCGTGAGGCAAAGTCTGACATAACATTTAAATGCGCTGCAGAAAAACAAAACTCGAAGAGCTTGTTGAAATGTGTGAGAGATACAATTAAGCCTAGTATGACCTGATATGTTAAATCAGTCCGAGAGTCTGTGTATACTGACGTCAGTCACTGTGCTTCACTTATAAAGATCCTAAAAAGAGTGTAGTGGTAGTCCAGCAGGTTCGTCTACTAATCCACAGCTATCCTGAGGTTTAGTGGAGCATTGCCTGTGTTGACCTTTACAGGGGACCACAGTCTCTCTCTACAGAACCTCCTGGATGTGAATTAGGATGAATCTCGCTTTGTGACATTTTCATCAGGCTGGCTGGATGTCAGGAAAAGAAACAGTCGCTTCCACCTGTTCACCTCGATTACTATTGCCTCCAACTAACAGGACACCACTAAGAGTAGAGAGAAGGAGTGAAGGAGAATCCTGCAGCCTGAGCTGCAGCACCCTCATGTGGCACTATAAGCAGACACCCAGAAATAGCACTTGAGGGAGCGCCATTAAAATATCTGTCTTTACAAATAACACAAGCAAGGAGTGCAAGTAAAACCAATATTCCCACGTGAAGTGCACAAAGAGCAAAGAAGTAAAGAAAGAAAGAAGCATAACAACTTAATACAACCCATCAGCCATCACTAAGGTTACAAAAGGTTATTTTCATTACCTCTATACTGAGGGGTAAACGTCCTCATTGCAGCAGGCAGGCTCTTGTAGAACTGATGCTCCCGGGGTATGAGAGGCTTACAGATGGTCTGCTCCCCAAAGCGCAGGACGCAGGAATTCCCCCCCACCTGGTGCACAAAGGGCTCAAGCATCACCCCTTTCTCCATGTAGCACTGCTGGTGCTGCAGCTGCTTCTGCTGTTGTAGTTGTAGTTGTTGTTGTTGTTGTTGTTGCTGCTGCTTTTGCTTTTTCTCTACATCTCTGGCCTCCTGGGCCTGAGCCTCCACAGCCGGACTCATCCTCCTCTGGCCCTGACCACACTACCGCGGGCATTAGCCTCCTCACGCACGCACACACAAGGTGGTGGGGACGCTATCGGACAGGGGCACGCACACACTCGCGCACACACACTGCAGATCCACAGAGGATTATCCCTGGTATCTCGCGTTGAGTTACTCCCACGATGTCTCCAGAAGCTGCTGCTGTGATGATTCTGCTTCGCCTGTGCTGTCAGGGATTCTGCTGGTCGACAACAAAGAACAGGAAGGAGGAAATGCGGAAGGAACTGAATAAAACGCTAAGATTTAGTGGACGTTTAACTCCTTGTCTGGCAGTTATTGTAGCTGAGAGTAAACAGAAAGCTCTTTTATGTCTTTTAAACTCTGATGTTTGGACTGGAGCTGCAGTGCCAGTCGGAGCAAACAGAGACAGGACCTGCTTGCGCCTCCACTGCGGACTCGACGCTCTGACAACTAAGAGCTGGCTCAGGACTGGTAAAGCTCTCACAGTCCTGACACTCAGCCCGCCCCCATCACAAGCAACTGACCAATCAGCAGCATCCAAACCAGGTTGTTGGGTGGTAACCCTTCAAGGGAAAAGAGCAAGCAAACAAAGACAGTGGTGGGTGGTGGGGGTCCGGGGGAAGGGATCAGAATAAACACAAGGAGGAAGGCCAAAGCTAAACTCAGCTGCTTTCCCGTCTGTGTCAGCAGGGTTTGGACAACTTAACAAAAAAAAAAAAAAAAAAAAACAACATTTCCTCATATAAAAGGAAAGGAACACCAGAACAAGAGCACAAGAGAAACAGCAGTCAGATATAAACAGCATTACTTACTAGTGAAATAGAAGACTGAGCCGGAAAGATAAAGCTTTGTGTTTCATATAATATATTCTTTAAAAAAAGCTTATAAATTACAATCTAGAAATATATAAATACTGTGATACATAGCTAACAGTTTTGAGTGTTTGTGTATTTTATATTGACTTCCTCCACCTATGCCCTTACCTAGAGTATTGTAGCAACACCGACTAACTAGATATAAGTGAGCAAAAAGTGTTGGGGAGCACTACCTGTAGTTTACTCTCAGTGGCAAAATGGATGATCAAACTAAAGCCTGCATACATAAGAAAATGTAAATGTCAGGATGTGGTGTCATGGAGACAAGGTGGCGTGAGAAGAACTGATGTGAAGGGTTTACTAAGCGCTTAATCTCTACCCAGAATGCAAACATGTATGTTCACATGCATGTGTACTATACATTTAAGTTGGACACTGGCTGTTTGTGCAGAGAAAAGTCAGAAGGCCCAGCACTAAGCTCTCTAATCCTGCCTCTTGGAACACATGAGGGAAATAGGCCATGACAAATAAGTAGAAAGTAGCCACCGTTAAGCTGGAACACACATACAGTATGTGTTTTGTACATACACACAAGCACATCCCAAAGGTTTTTAATAGTGGCCCTCCTGTGAAATCTTTCATTAGTGGGTACCAGTCTGATAAACACAGCCTACTTGGTCAGAACAGGGAAAACGCTGTTCTCCCCCCTAACAACATCCATGACTGACGAAACCGAACACATGCTATTTGAAGGAGTAAGAGTTCAAGCACTCCTTACATCTCAGTGATGTCCACAAGCTCAGAAACTAGCTGCTCACACATAAACAATGAACATAAATCAACATTATTGTAATACTGAAAGTAATTTACAATATAAGCAGCAAATTTATAAAATTATTTGGAGGAATTTAACAGGTGCATGGTGGAACACTTCCAGTGGAAATGAGAAAAAGAGAAACAGATGGAGAGGGAAGTGAAAGTCATGACTTTGAAAGAAATGGGCATGAGTACGGCATGGGGCCCCTTACAGGGGCTTTTCACAGTGATGCTGAGGCGCGTGCCAGTTGCAAACAGAGACACTGGGATGTGCAGCCAGCAAGAGGTTGGACTCCAGCACAACAGACAGACAGTTTGAAGAGCACCTCCTGACAACATCAGAGCTTTTCCAACTTTGGCAACAGAGAGAAGACAGACTGTAATCCGTCTAGCAACATTCATCTAGGAAACAGCTTTACAAATGCATTTCAGACCTTTTGGTGTGTGTTCGTTCTGTTCTTCAGTGTGGTTACTGTAGGTCAGTCAATGACAAAAACAGTCTCTTCTGTGGCAGAAAGCGAGATCCAGGCTCAGCTAGAACACTAGATATTACATGTACCAGAACTAAGCTAGGCGTGGTGATAAGACATTCACCAGTTTTCCTTCTAAAATTAAATGTGAATCTTCATAAAAACCACCATATACATAGAGGGACACAGGAAGCCTACAGCCCACCTCTTTATGCAGCAGCAACAAGCAGCAATACAAGAAGTCAACTGTCCATCATGAAAATAACAAAAACACACAGACCATCAGATTTTAATTGAAAACCATTTGTAAATCTGAGGTTCAAAGGTAACTCTTTGATACCAGCATCTTAATTACCAGTATTTAACACTCTGAAAATGATATGAACTACAAAAAAAGGCAGCTATAGCCAAATAGCAAGCCTATGAACATTTCTACTGTGTTTAATACTAGAACACAAACTACTGCAAAGCTGTCATTGATACCAATTGGCATTTTAAAATCCAGGCATGTCCAGTTCACCTACCTGTAGCTTGTATGAGCAAACTGCAGCATCAGTGCAAAAACCACAACAAGAGATCAATGTTCCTGGCTGTAAAATTTACTCTGCATGCTAAACACTACGATGATGCCAACAGGCCACCTCCACTACAACATGTGACGTTAAACGCCTTTAACTGGCCTATACCTTCTGCTCCATATTCAGAGTCAAAGTCATGCAGGCAACCATCTCAACATCCTTTCCACAATCAACACACTCACTGAGATCAAAGGACTCACATCGGAATTTCACTAAGGTTAGCATGCGACTTGATGTTGTGTTACATGTGGGTTGTTGAAGCTTCAGAGGGCTTTACAGCACACTCAGGCCTCCTAGAAATGTGTGTATTAAGAGCACCCATTTAGACAGAGATATCTGGTTGTGGTGAAGGCAGTGCAGGAAGGAAGTGTGTGTGTGGGGGGGTGACCACTGACATTTGACATGAAGGTTAATATGGAGGTGACGAGTGAATTTAGATATAAAGCAGACAGAAGATGGAAGATATTGAGGGGAAAGTACTAAATGGCACACATACACATAAATACATGTATGTATGTATAGAGGTATATTGTATATATATATGTCTTATTTTCAGTAAACACAACACTGTCTTGCAGATAACTGCTCCTTCAGTAAATGTTATGTGTCCTCAGTACCTCTCCTTGTTCTGAGAACTAATTATGTTGACATAATGTCCTGTAAGAGCCTTATTAAGTTTAGGAGGTGACAGTGTAGATGGCATGAGTCTGGATTTACCTGGACTGATTTACACAGTGGCCAAAGGGAAACATGCATAGACATGTCAAGTCATATGTACACAGAACACTCAGACATCATAATGGCCATACATGCAGACAGGCAGAAACACAGCAACACATACAGTGAAAACTTTATACAAAGACAGAAACAAAATAACAAGTCACTCCACAAACACGTTAAAACAAACACACACACTGTACATGCACAGGTGCAGTGGAAAAAGGATGATCTTACCTGTGTGCTGATTTGCAAGGTCATTTTCCAGACTCATCACCTTACATCACGTCAGATAAACCGGCTAACCAAATCCTCATGGGTCACCAAACACGTAAGCCCCCTAAAAATATCACAAGCTGTTGGGAATCCAGGCGGTTAAAATTAAACAGTCCGCTCTGTGCCAAATGCAAGAGACACACAAACACAGGCATCATAGTGTAGGAAAACACTTTACTGGCTGCCACAACAGGTCAATAGGGTAGATACATAGCTACATAGCTGCACACACTGATGTGTGAAGTCCTAATGACAATCTGTAACCGCAATGTTACGTACAGGACTATGTAGTGATAGAGACGTTTGTGAAAATGTCTAAGAGTCATATCATGAAAAGTAAAACTTTGACTTTTTGTGGCACACAACAAGTTACTGTGTCACAGCTGTGTACATGGATGCATGTAAGTCTGAGCAGTGGGTGGGGGGCTTTCAGTAAGAGGTCATCCCATCCTTCCTGCACTTGTTTCCTGCCTGACATCTTTAGTCTCTCCTGATCAGGGAGGTGAAAATCCACAAAAGGAAAAGATAGAGGAAATGGATAATGAAGACGTGACTGTACTACGGGGAGAGAGAGTGACATTATGATAGTACTCCAGATTTTTGCCCTGATGATTGGCCTAATTAACTGGTAATGAGAGTACAAAGTACAGTACCAAAAATATCCTTATGTCCTCATTAAAACCGTTCTTTTACAGAGGCTATGGTGAGATACACTACTACCAAGAACACTTAATAACACTTGTATTCACAAACAAAAAATATAGATTGTATTTTTAATAGCTCAGTATAGCCTGTCTTATTTCATAAGCTGGTTTCTAAATGAATCATAATCAGAATCAGCTTTACTGGCCAGGTTTGTTGAGCACACAAGGATTTTGACTCCGGTGCAGTGGCTCTCAATGTGTATGTACAAGGCTACGAGTAAACATATAAACAAGATAAGACTGAGAGAATGTGCAAACAAGAAAAGTGATTGTGCATTAGAAAAATTAAAAATTAAAATAAAATGCTTTTATATGTATTTATTTATGAAATAAAATAAAATAATGTATTATTGCAGCAACTGGATCTTGTAAACATAACAAGTCACACTCGCAATGGTACGGCAGTGTTTTATTACAGGTTTAGTTTTCCTGTTTGGTGGCTGTGCCGGCCAATGGTTAGTTTCTGTGTCACTGGACCAGTTGAAGCCAGTATCCACCTGACCACCAGCGACAGTAGCCTAGTGAGCAAACTGCTGCTTGGTGCAGGAACAGGAAAACTGAAATGTTGCCACACAGTAGCTGTGAAAGTTGACAATGGCGTATCCGCTATGCCAGTTTCAAATTCTGCAGCCTGAGAGCAGTAATACTAGTGAAATAACCTTCTATAATATTCTGGAAGATACAGTCATTATTTAGAAATTTTTCCAACCCCATATGGTGAAATGACAAATAGTATATCATAGCACATTGCAATAAATGAGTGACTAATGATAGGTTTTTAGTGTATGAATCCAAGTTTAATGGGTACATTTAATGAACACTGAGCAAAAGGCCTGTCACACAGCAGATCATGGTTGGGCTTGCAATCCTAAATACAGTATGTGACTACTGGTGTTTACAGTGGCTACATTCCATTTATGTGTGCCAGTTCCATGGCCCTGGCATGGCTTACTGACTCAGTGAAAGATAACAGATCATGATATGATATCTGCCTTAAAATGCTATTTCATAATACTGATAGAAAGTCTTTAGAGTTCAGCCCCTAGTCTTGTATGACAAAACCTACTTTAGCCCCATTTCCATTGACTCGACTCGACTCTACTCGCTTTTGGTACCGGGCACCTG